ATTGTTTTTTGCCAGTCTCCGGATAAAAGACGATACTATCCAACGTCGAACTGACTCTCCTCATCGGTGAAATCAACCCGGCTGAAATTACTGAACGGATGACATCAATGATTGTCATCTGCCTAAACAACCACGTCATAGGGATAATCGTCCTGATAGACATTAGCCATCCGTTTCCAGCGTTCGGAATGCAGTCTCAGTACACCCGGGAACTAAATGACTGCCCAACGCCAATACAGAGCGCAAACTATATCGCCGATAAGTTTTGTCCTTTCTCTCCATCCACAGAACCGATAGAGTAGCAGCCTTTGGAAAGGCAATAGCCTCAATTCACAACATAGAGGGTGATTGTGATTGTTCTTTTTCATAAGTGTTGTGTGATCTTTTGTCTTTGAGTAAAGAGAAACCACATTGTTGATAAAAAAAACAAGTTTCAAGGGCAAATAAATTTGGTTACAGGAGCTGTGCCGTAAACTCGAAGTAAATTCTGTGGAAGACAACGAACATGGTCAGCAACTAGCTGAGACTGGCCTGTTAACGCAGAATGACTTTTCTAGACAACAGCTAAAAATGTCACCTACCGCACACCTGTGAATGTCCTGCAGGTCAGAGCTCACTAGTTCCAGCAGCTTGTGGCAGATACTGTCACTTTATGGACGGTGAGAAGAACATTACAAGTAAGAGCCCAAATAAAGCAGAACTTTTTTGACATATATATATCATAGAACAGACGAAGTAGCTAAATTATTTACAACATCAGGCACTAACGTAGAATAGGCTCAAGTGCTCAGCATGACAGTCTGTAAGAAAGATTTGCAAGTAATTCTGAACAATACCATCAACTTCTCAGGTTGAGGAGGAATAACCATCGCAACTGTGTTGCATGCAAAGGCCGCCCGTTGACTGAGCTTGTTTCCTGCAACACTCACTAATATAAATAATTTAATAAGATAGTACGTTTGTTTTTAAATGTGAGATATAAGGAAACGCTGCATTATCCGGATAAGCAAGGTGTCTCATCTTATACTATCTCCCATACATAAGATACTAATGCCAATGATTAGTAAACATTATTCAGTGAGAATCTGGAGATCAGTGTTAAATAGCGCAGGCGAATGTGTATCTCCTTAACAATTTTGCAATCAGTGTTGAATCGTTTAGGCAGCTTTTATTGACGCTGGGCATGTTGGCAGAGTGTCTAATTGGTCTGCTTCAAACTCCGGAGGCGCCGGATTCGACTTAGATTGAAAGCAATCACTGAGTAATTAATA